GGGGCCGAAGTGTTGCGGTCCCCATGGAGACGCGCAGGGCCCCGACTTCGCTCCGGGCAGCTGCAAGCCCGGCCGCTGGCGCTCACCTTTCTGCCCTGAAGAGGACGTGGCACCCCAGCCGGCCCCAGCCGCTCCCGGAGGTAAAGCCCTGGGCTTCCGCGCGGCCTCGCGGCCGTAGCTGGGGCAGTGTGAGTCTGACCCCCGCGGAGCACCCAGGGGGGTAGGCGGCGCGAGGGTCCCCAGCTCCCTGGGAAACACTTGCTTAGGACCCCAAACAGACTCCCACCCGCTCCCTCCCTGCTGTCCCAGGTCACCCTCCCCCACTAGGGACAGGGTGAGATACCAGGTATCTACAGTGAGTGCAGTTTGTGCTTATAACCACAGCTCTGAGGGTTCATATGCTAAGATTTGATGAATAGGACAAACAATGAAGTGAATATTGCTAAGAATCTTTTAAGATACTGATGGGCTTATTAAGAAATGTTGCCGTCGGGCTGGGGATTTAGTTCAGCGGCACAGCGCCTGCCTGGCAAGCATGAGGTCATGAGTTCGATTCCTAGTACCGGAAAAACACACACAAAAAAAAAAAGAAAGAAAGAAAGAAATGTTGCCAGCTGGGCGTGGTGGCGCACACCTGTAATTTCAGCACTCAGGAGGCTGAGGCAGGAGGATCCTTGAGATTTGAGGCCAGCCTGGGCTACAAAATGAGTTTAAAACCAGCCTGAACTGAATAGTGAGACTCTGTCAAAAATACAGAAAAAGCCGGGCGTGGTTTCTTATACCTATAATCCCAACCCTGGAAGGCTGGGGCAGAAGGATTGCTACAAATTGGAGGCCAACCTGGGCTACATAGTGAGTTTAGGGGCAGCCTGAACTATACAGCGAGATACTGTCTCAAAAAGACAAAAAAGAAAAAAAAAAAAAAGAAAGAAAGAAAAGAGAAAAGAAAAGGAAACGTTGCTAGAAAAAAAAAAAAAGAAAAAAAAAAAAAAGAAAGAAAGAAAAGAGAAAAGAAAAGGAAACGTTGCTATCGGTATTAGAACAGAATCTCCCACCTCACTGGCGTTAAAGTCCGCTGTGACCCATGCAGCCGTGTTCACGCCCACCCATTCTGCACAAACCCACCTCTGCTCCTCAGGAACCTCGAAGATCATTTTCTAAAAACAGTGCTTTCAGTGGGAGAGACTAGGGGTGGGGGCTTGGCGTTTTAGAGCAGCCATGGAGGGTTACTTTTCCTGAATGAATTAGAACGGGGCGGTTGCTTCCGGTGTGTTCAGGCCTCCATTCTGTAGCACTGAACCTATAAACCCGTGAGCACACGGAGTGTGTGAACTTACCAGACCAGCTGGGCGTGCCTGTCCCTGTCGCTCCAGTGCACGGATTTCCTCAGAGCCTGCCGGGACCTGCGCTCTCCGTGTCCTTGCCGCCTCAGGGAATACACACGGCTCGTGTGCGGAATGTCTGTGCAGCCCTGCGTGTAAGACTGATCGCCTGTATCTGTCTTGTCAGTAATGATGCTTATCTTGTATGCTAGTTCTTTTCTGCAACCTTTAGAACCAGACAACCTCTTGCAAGACATATTTTGAAGGAATTAAACTTTAGGTGGTAAATGAACCATGCAGCGACGTGCGTGCGAATTGCGGAGATTCTCTGTGCCAAGGAACAAGGGCTTTGCTTTCAATTTTCTAAGTTACTTTCTCTGCGGTAGCACAGCAGCACCAGCCTGTCTCGCATTTCTCCAGCTGTGTGACAAATCACCTGTGGAAACATAGCCTGCTGACAGCGCGGCTTTTCTGATTTCCCCCAGCAGCTATGTAGCTCTCTGCCTGCACTGGCTGCCTTCTCATCCCTTCATCTGGGTCTGGTTATTCTGAATTAAAAAAAAGAAAAGTTTTTCTCTCTCAACTCACACACTTACTGGACACAACACTGCATTTCTGGTCCCCAAAATGCCTGAGGTCTCCCCACCAACAGCCAGCTCGCCGGTGGCCCCCAACTGGGGTCTTAGTATTTGACTCAGTGCTGACACCTGGCGTTGGTGTCAGGTCGCACAGGTGACTGCTTAGTCCCGTAAAATGCCCCTACCCGGTGAGTACTGTGTTAGCCAGCGCTCTGTTATTATAGCAACGACTCCTGATAGCGACTCATGAGATCAGTTTTCTCCTGGCCCGTAGTATGAGTGCTTCCAGTCCATGACTGGCCAGCCCTGTTGCTTTGGGTGTGTGGCAGGATGGCCCATCATGGCTGTGGTGTGCAGTGGAGCGGAACTGCTCACTAAAGCAGCAAAAACAGAATAAGGTAGAGGAAGGGGCTGGGACCTCACAGTCCTCCTTGAAAGTGTGGGACGGAAAGGGCTCCCACCAGCCCGCACCTCATAAAGGTTCTGTCACCAGTAGCTCGGAGCTGGGGACCAATCCTTGAACACTTCAGGGGTTCAGATGCCAACTATCGGGGCAAGGTTGGGACCCATGGTTCTGACTGACCAGCTACGCCATAGCTGACCAGCTATGACTGCCTTCTCAGATTTGATTCATTCACTGGGATGGCTTACATAAGGCTGGAGGAACATACATCTACCCACTTATTATGAAGGATGTGACCAAGATACAGGAGAACAGGGGCATGCAGGAGAGGCCCAGGAAAGGTACAGGGAAAGGGGGCATGAAGCCTTCTCCAGGCCCCTCTGAGTGTCAGAAGCCCTCAGAATCCTGACTTTTGGGGGTTTTATAGAAGATTCGTTATGGAGACATGGCTGATTACATCTTTGACCATGATCAACTCAACCTCCCCACCCGCTCTTACCCTGGTGTCTTAGTTACTTTTCTCTCGTTGCTGAGACAAAATACCTGCCGTGCAAAGTTAAACGGGGAAAGGTTTATTTAGCTTACAGTTTGTAGAGGTTTCAGTCCTCAATAAACTGGCTCCAAGGCAGGGTGGCATATGGCAGAGGGTCTTTCCCACACTTCTGGAAGCTGGGAACTCCAAGACCAAGGTGTCGGCCAGCTTGGTTGTCTGGTGAAGGCAGCTGTGTGCTTTCAAGATGGCGCTTGCTGCTGCATTCTCTGGAGGAGAGAAATGCTCTGTCCACACATGCAGAAATCAGAGGAGCAAGTGAACCGACTGCTGTGTGGATCTCTTTCATCAGAAGAGCCTACTTTGTCCACAGAGGGAGGTGTTCTCATTGCTTAGTCACCTCTGGAAGCCTCACCTCTTGTGACCTTGGCCTTTACATTTCAGCACCTGAAGTTCAAAAGACGAGGACTCATTGAAACTGTAGCAATATGAACAGTTATTCATTTACTCATTCAGCACACGTTTGTCAAGAGCCCACATCATGGGCAGCTTCAAAAATGGCGCCCAGTGACCTCAGCTTCCATGGGTTCGTGCTCTTTTGAATGTTCTCCCCTTCAATGTGTGCTGGACTTGTTTCTCAGGTACAGAGGGATTAGCAACATTTTCCTGGAAGGGTTAAGATAATCATGATACTGTTTTTGGCTTTGTAAGCCCTGTGATTTTTCTTCCCATTCTTAGTTGTAGCAGTTCTACAGGCAGTCATACACAATGCACGTAACCTATATCACTGTGTTCCAGTGATACTTTCTTTGTACATCAAGTAGTGGGCCAGAAATGGCCTAATTTCTGTGTTTGCTGACCTCTGTTCTGACTAATAAAAAAGCAGTGGTAATTCACTTCGGAGATTACCTTACTCTGGCTTGCATCTTGCCTGCCCTGTCTTGCTGTTTTACTTATTCACTTGAGAGGAAGTGAGCTGCCATTTTGTGAGGTAAACTATAGGGAATCCAACATGGAGGCTCTGGCCAACAGCCAGCAAGAAACTGAGGCGCTCGTTCTAGCAGTGAGGGAGGAACTGGATCCTGCCAATGGCCTCTTAAATGAGCCTGGCAGGGAGTGCCCTTTGAGGTGACTACAGCCCCAGCTGACCCGTGGACTGTGAGGGGCACTGTGCCAGCACTCCTGACACACAGGAACTGTGAGGTAATCGGTGTTGGTCATTTTAAGCCAGTGATTTCGTTTTTGTTTTTGCTTCAACCAGGGTATTTTATCTTCTGAATGTAGACAATCTTTGACTTTCTGTGGTTACCAGCTCCTCTCTTTCCCTCTATACATGTCTTCAAGGCCTTGGCAGTGATTCTGCGCAGGACCTTGGACTCCTGGAGACAGAACAGAGGGTGAGGGAGGAGTTTTGGCCAGCGCTCTGGTGATGCCTCCCATCGCAGCAGCAGCAGCAGCGGGGGTTCGTGTTTACACCAGCCTAGGCCAAGGTTCTTTCATGGCTGGTACACTTGGGCCCTTGGGCAAGAAGGCCCAGCTTTTAGGGTCGCAGCAGGGCCTCCCTCAGGCCACAGTGCTGGCTGTGCCTTCACAAGGGTCATTGCAGCCCCTTGCCAATCTCTGGCTCGAGGTGTGCAGGACCTGGGGTGGGGATGGGGGTGCCATCTCTCACCCTTCCTTTACTTGGCAAAGCCACAGATAATTTACACTGCAAATACTAAGACATTTAACTATTGTTCATTCACTCCTCGGTGAAAAAAGTTCTTCACATACATCACATTTATTTTCTTTTTGTTCCACATTTATTTTCTTAAAAACAAAGCAGAAGCCAGGTGTAGTGGCACATGCGTATAATCCCAGCTTGGGAGGCAGAGGCAGGAGGATCACTGCAAAGTCAAGGCCTGGCTACATAGCTCAAGGCCAGCCTGCACTGCATAGCAAGGCCCAGTCTCAAAAAACAAACAGCAACAACAACCAAAACCAAAAGTTGCACTAATAAGAATAGGACATAGCCTAGGCTTATGTACAACATGTGTTTGGCAAGGCTGGTGCAGGACTACCAGTTGCCCCAGAATTCTTTGGAGCAGAGAGACAAAATCGTCCAGATAACAACTTTTACACTCAGCAGGCCAGACACAAAAAGGACCACTTGAAAAACAATCTTTCAAAAAATCTGCATTTAAAAAGAATACTCAACTGCATTTGAAATTTTCTGTGAAACACAAGATTTAGTTAAAAAAAATCAGAAAAGGAAAAGTTTGAATTTGTAAATCATCAAACCACTAGAAGAAAACCTGGAAACCCAGCTGGCCTAGTTTGAAATAGATTATGCTATTATAGCTTGCTAAGGTAGGTAGAAATATTGTAGGCAGTCATTCAAGGCTGGGTCCTTGAGAGATCAATGCAGAAGACAACCGTGGCTGGAGGTGTATTCACTGAAGGCCAGGCTTCAAGAACTATTCACCCATGTACTTCCCTTGGGGTTGACCGGCGTGGCTTGTTTTTTTAGGTGGGCTTCATTCCCTTTGGGTTGGGGGCGCAACCTCCTTAACACACCGCTTCCAGGAAAGTCCTTGTCTGCCCCTGTGTGCTTGCTCTGTGACTTGTTTCCCCATTTGATTCCATTTAATCAGTATTAACCAAGTGACTATACTTGTTGTATACTTATTGGTTGACATAATTTTGTCCCACCTCACACCCACTCTATGATTTGCTGTTGGATCAGTATTACCTAAGCTACCATACTTGTAGTCTTATTTATTGGTTATAGTTCTGTCCCACCTTAACCCTGCCTCACCTGGCGGCTTTGCTCAATAAAACACCCTTGAGAAGCAGGGTTGGTGGGCGACCCACTTTCTGGGCCCTCCTCTGTCCCTCTCAGACAGAAGCTTTTTCTCCCAACACATTCTTCCTACTCTTAACCTCCATTGTTCCTAGAATTCATTCCTCAAATTTAGAGAACATGAACTTGGCATTTTGGACATTTAGTAGGTTGAGAGTTTCATTTCCCTGTATCATTGCCACTTGCTTCATTGTGTCAATTTTTGCTGCATATTTTGAAGCTTTTTTTTGTACTGGAAATCGAACTCAGGACCTTGCACTTGCCAGGCACTAGCTTGTGCCGCTGAGCTACATCCCTGACCCTGAAGCTGTTTAAAGAGAGGTGAGTGGCTAGAGGTCTGGTTAGTGCTAGCACCTGGCTCCTCAGGTCCAGGTCCAGGTCCTCGAAAACCTGATGCACAGTGACTGCGTGTGAGGTCAGCCAGCAGGGAAGGTACATGGTCTTTGCTTTGGCCCTCACACCTAGTCAGTAGCAGTGTCCCCAGGACAAGGCTGGCCTTCCTCCAGGGCATGGAGCTGGTGTGACTTGGCCCTAGTCCTGCTGCCTCTCTGCAGGACTTCCCTGCAGAGCAGAGCCAACTTGAGAAGGTAGAGTGAAAGGGCATGGTGGCCTTGGAGTGACCTTGTGACAGCAGTGCCCAAGTTTCAGGAAATACTGCCAGCATTTTGGAGCACTTTGCCATCACCAGACATGCATGTGTGTGTATGTGTACCTGTTACCGGAAGGTGGGGTACCCACTGGTCCTTTCCAGGCTCCTGCCCATTCAAAGAATTGGATGGTATTATAGATCGCTAAGTTACTTAGAAATATTGTAGGCAGTCTGACAGGGCTGAGCCTTTGAG